CTGCTACGGGACAAGCCCAAGAAAAAAACCAACAGAACACCACTGGCCATCACCTACAGTCCTCAGCTAAAACGTATCCAACGCAACATTAGTGATCTACAACCCATCCTGGACAATGATCCCTCGTTTTCACAGGCCTGGGGAGGCAGGCCAGTCCTTGCCCACAGACAACCCGCCAACCTGAAGCACATTCTCACCAGCAACTACACACCGCACCATAATAACTCTAACTCAGGAACCAATCCATGCAACAAACCTCGGTGCCAACTCTGCCCACATATATACACCAGCAACACCATCACAGGACCTAACCAGATCAGCCATACTGTCACTGCTTCATTCTCCTGCACATCTACTAACGTAATATACGCCATCATGTGCCAACAACGCCCCACTGCTATATACATCGGCCAAACTGGACAGTCCCTACGTAAAAGAATCAATGGACACAAATCAGATATTAGGAATGGCAACATACAAAAACCTGTAGGGGAACACTTCAATCTCCGTGGACACACAATTGCAGATCTAAAGGTGGCCATCCTGCAGCAAAAAAACTTCAGGACCAGACTTCAAAGAGAAACTGCTGAGCTACAGTTCATCTTCAAGTTTGACACAATCAACTCAGGATTAAACAAAGACTGTGAATGGCTCGCTAACTACAAAAGCAGCTTCTATTCTCTTGGAATTCACACCTCCAGATCAGCTGCTAGAAGTGGGCCTCATCCTCCCTGATTGGATCCACCTCATCATCTCCAGTCTGATTCTGGCCTGCATAGTTATAGCTGCCTCTGGAAATTTCCACTACATGCATCTGACGAAGTGGGTCTTTGCCCACGAAAGCTTATGCTCCAACACTTCAGTTAGTCTATAAGGTGCCACAGGACTCTTCGCCGCTTTTTTTGAAAGAGAGTGTCCAGACTGAATGGATGCTGTCTTGCACGCAAGCTGTAATTGCTATGGATGGGATGGTCACCAGGGCACCTGTGCTTTTTCCTCTTTCCTCTTCTTTCAAAAGAACTTCCTCTTCCCTGTCCACATATGCCTGTTTGTGAATGAGTTGTTTTGCAAAAAGGCTTCTTCCTTGTAGAATGAGGATTACCAATGCTGGAAAAACCCCTCTGGTTCTTTCAATTTTCTTGCAGAAGAACGCCATTGCAGTGTGGACGTTGCTCAAGGTGTGTCGGAAAAACGGCCGTTTTTCTGACAAAACACTGTAGTGCAGGGGTTCTCAAACTTTGTGATACCGTGACCCCCCTCTAAGTTGCTCGCGACCCCCCGGGGGGTCAGGACCTACAGTTTGAGAAACACGGCTGTAGTGTAGATGTACCCTTAGTCTCCTCTTTTCTAAGCTGAAAAGTCCAAATGATTTTAATCTCTCTTCATATGGGACCCGTTCCAAACCACTCTATGCCATTCTAAGCTGTCTCTACACTAGGAGGGCTTGCCAGAAGTCAGCAAAAGGCTAGTGATTCTGGGACAAGCTTTGTTAAGATCTTCAAACTGGCTCCAAGACTGGGCTTGATAGCTTCCTGGAGGGGATAGTGTGATGAGACTGCCTACAGTGCTGTGGGGCGGATCTGGGACTGCTAGTAGCGATTGTCTCCAACAGCTGGTCAGATGGGTCATTAGTTGGGGAGGGCTTTGTGTTACTACAGTGAGTTTTTTCGCCTGTGTCAAGCTGCTGAATCTCACCCACATGCCCACCGTCCAACTGATCCCCATATTTGGGGTCAGGAAAGAATTTACACCCAGGTGAGACTGGCATTGACCCTGGGTATCTTTCACCTTCCTCTGCCATAGGGAGCATGGGTCACTTCACTTGCCCGTGTCACGCAGTCAGAAAAAAAAAGCAAATATTATTTCGGGATGTATCGCAGGAGTGTTGTACATAAGACATGAGAAATCATTCTTCTCTCCATGAGGATTAGGCCTCAACTGGAGTATTGTGTTCCTTTCTGGACACCACATTTCAGGAAAGATGCAGACCAACTGGACGCTCTTTTCCGGCTTTTCCCCAAGCCGGAAAAAAAGCGGCGGCCATGTTTATTTAAATCCCGCGGGGGATATTTAAATCCCCCGCGGATTTCCCTATTCCAAAGTTCGAAATTAGCATGGCTATTCCGGAGAAGGGGCCAGTGTAGACGTAGCCGGGTTGTTTAGTTTGGAAAAGAGAAAACTGGGAAGGGACAGAATCACAATTTTCAAACACATAAAAGTTTGCTATAAGGAGGTGGGAGAAGAATTGTTCTTCTTAACCTCTTAGGACAGGACAAGAAGGAATGGGTTTAAATTGCAGCAGGGGAGGTTTAGGCTGGACATGAGGAAAAACTTCCTGCCTGTCAGGCAATTTATTCAAGTGCTTACCCACCCTAGGGAGGTTGTGGAATCTCCATCACTAGAGATTTTTAAGTGCAGATTAGAAAAAACATGTCAAGGATGAT